TGGTGAGTGCACACCTGAAAGGGGAGCACGGCACAATTGAAGATTATTTCTTGAATTTTCACGTGGTGATTTTTGAAATTTGATTATGAAGTAATTTTACGTGGTGATCATAAAAGGATTGGAATATATGGACTTTTTATGTGTTTATTATATTATTATTATTTACAAAGCGCTGCATTAATATTTTGTATTTACAGAATATTATTTTTATATACAGGAAACAATGTCCTTTTAAAAGTTTTACATGATATTTCATCACAGAAACTTAAATTTGGTGTTGGAGATATTTGGATCTGGATTTGATTAAGGCTTAAGTTATAAGATAAATGAATCTAATCAAGTCAGAAATACAGATATACGTACATTGTGACTGAGTGTCTTTGGATCTGAAGTTAAAGACAAAATTGAATTGTGAGAAAAAACGTGAATCTTTAAGTATTAATAAACAACAAGTTGCCACATGGCTATATAAGAAATAAGTCACAAGATCAAGTAATGTACAAATAATGGACTTACAGATAAATCTAGTGAATTGTAGATTTTCTGTACACATGCATAAAGATATGATTAATTATTAATTGTCCTGTGAATGAACACACAAGTACAAAAACTTGCATATAAAGCGCACAAATGATTGCAAGGTTTAGAACAGCAATGGGCAAACTATGGCCCGCGGGCCGTATACGGCCCGGCGGACCTTTTAATCCGGCCCGCGGAGCTAGGCTCCTCTCTCACAGTCCGCCCTGAAGACCAGTGTAGCATGAAAATCTGTCTCCTATGAGGATCTGTCCCCCTCGACGTATCTGCGCATGTGCCAGAGATCGCCGATCGGCTGCTAATGCCTGAAACTGGCACATGCGCAGATACGTCGAGGGGGACAGATCCTCATAGGAGACAGATTTTCATGCTACACCGGAACGGCGCGGGAACACAGCGAGAGGAACGCGCGGAGCAAAGGTAAGTGAATTGACACAGGGGGGACTTGGGGACTTAATATGGGGGATGAATTAATATGGGGAATGAATTACTATAGGGGGGATGAATTACTATAGGGGGGGTGAATTACTATAGAGGGGATGAACTACTATGGGGGATGAATTACTATGGGGGATGAATTACTATATGGGGGATGAATTACTATGGGGGATGAATTACTATGGGGGATGAATTACTATGGGGGATGAATTACTATATGGGGGATGAATTACTATGGGGGATGAATTACTATGGGGGATGAATTACTATATGGGGGATGAATTACTATATGGGGGATGAATTACTATGGGGGATGAATTACTATAGAGGGGATGAATTACTATATGGGGGATGAATTACTATATGGGGGATGAATTACTATGGGGGATGAATTACTATATGGGGGATGAATTACTATAGGGGGGATGAATTACTATGGGGGATGAATTACTATAGAGGGGATGAATTACTATATGGGGGATGAATTACTATATGGGGGATGAATTACTATGGGGGATGAATTACTATGGGGGATGAATTACTATAGAGGGGATGAATTACTATATGGGGGGATGAATTACTATATGGGGGATGAATTACTATGGGGGATGAATTACTATATGGGGGATGAATTACTATATGGGGGATGAATTACTATGGGGGATGAATTACTATGGGGGATGAATTACTATATGGGGGATGAATTACTATATGGGGGATGAATTACTATATGGGGGATTAATTACTATGCTTACTATGGGGGAATATTACTATACTTACTATGGATGACACATACACATCATTCATCTACTCTTGGTCCGGCCCCCGGGTCCAATATATGAACCCATTGCGGCCCTCAAGTCAAAAAGTTTGCCCACCCCTGGTTTAGAACTACAGTGGTATATTTACACATGCTATGATTGTGTGTATATTGGATGTAAATCTGAAGGTATCCCTTAGGCATGGGAACTGAGTGAGGAACATAGTAAGTATGTAGCTATATGGACAAACACTTGTTTGTGAAAAGTAGTGGACTCAAAATGGCAGAATCACCACAACTAACTTGTTTGAAAATGGAAACAAAGTGATAAAGTTCCTAGGAGCAAATAGCAGCAGCAGGGACTGTGCTAAGGCTCTGGATTTGGAGAAGACATATTGCACAAGTTACTCACGGGTCTCCAGAGCATCACAATGTAGAATATAGCACCCCAAGGTCACATTTTAGGGTATCTTTTCTACAAACATGGGTTTACTCACAGAGTGTGTCTTCAGAGACTGGGTGACACCAAAGTCTATACCATGGCACTGAACCTGGAGAGCACCCTGTGGCTAACAGCACACTAAAGTCTGGAAAGCTCAAAGCAGAGGCCTGTGCTAGCAGGTCACATTCCAGGATAGCCCCACAATATTTTGGTCCATTGGGGTCCAGGTATGGCCTGCAAAGCTGTTGCTGAGGATACACCACTCCAGATAGCTGAGTGAAAAGACTAGCTCAAGGAGTTTATATGAGAGCTTGAAGTTAACATAGAAAAACATCCATGGTGTAATAAAGATCTTGATAAAAGAGATAAATAACAATAAAAAATATAACTAATGCAGGGCTGAAGAAAAGGTGTCTAACCAAAAGCTAACAAAAGTCTGAGGTTGAAGGTGGGGATATATGGGGGCCTGGCTTAATGTTTTGCCACTGACCACACCTCCTAAAAGCAGCAGTATAACCCACATTTTCAAGAATTACCACTGTCCCATGGCCCTCAATGGACAATAAAGAGAATAATTATCTAATTGCTATGGGTCCTAGGGGTTACTGTGTTGTGCAATTTAATTTTGCTCTTTGATCTCTCTAATGAATTAAGAATCTATATCTATAAATCAATTCTATACTCACAGAACGTTTTTGTTATGGTCTTAATTTAAAGTATTATTATGTTTAACCAATTAATAGTATATGCAGCAATTGATGTTAAATAGTAAAAAACACAATTCACTTACCTATTATAAATAAAAAAAATGCAGCGCAGTACTATAAATACAAATACAGTGCTAAATAAATCCAACGTGCATATGTGAATAGTGAAAACAGAAAATTGTGCTTTGTGACAATAATATGTGCTACATCAAAATAAATATCAACACATATACATGAATATCCATAAAACTGCATATACCAGTGCTAAATGAATAGTGTATGCAAATATCAAATGAACCATACAAAATAGTGAACTGTCCCTTTAACACTCTAATATCTTCACATGTGCTTGTGTGGTATATCTCCTGTGCATCGTGTTCCAAATATACCATCAACAAGTGTGCCAATATTGTACCAAATATGTGTACACAAATATAGTACACAAAACAAAACAGGGATAAATCACCTTTATGTTGGAGGGAATGTGGGGAACAGGGCACAGTGGGTCATATTTGGTGGGAGTGTTATAAAATCCAAAAATATTGGGAAGAAATAATCCACAAGATACAAGAAATAACTGGGATAACAATACCAAATGAACCAGGGATATGTCTTGGACATATACATGGAACAGAGCTAACGGTTGAAAAATACAAAAAGTCTGGGTTATTGCAATATATTTCATGCAGCAAAAAGTTTGATTCCTAAATTTTGGAGGGAACAAGAAGTACCAAAAACAACGGACTGGATAAGAAAGGTAGATCAGATATATAGAATTGAGGAACTATACCATATAGATGAGGATAAAATGGAGGGGTTTCGTGAAAAATGGAAAAAATGGGAGGCGTTTAAGAAGGTTAAATTATTGAAAGCATATAGGAAACAGGAATGGAAGAAAACCCTAGGATTGCAAAAGAGAGGGGGTGATGCTGAGGGGAGGGTGGGAGAGGGGTGGGAAGGGGAGGTATGGATTGGGATAGGGTGGGGAGAAGGGGGGAGTTTTGTATTTTTGTATTCTGGGTGAAAATAGTTGATTAATAGATGTTGTTTTTATAGATGGAATAGATGAAATGTAAAACTTAATAAAATAATAATAAAAAAAAAACAAGTGTCCCAATATTATGGTCTCAAAATGCTGGGGAACCGTCCCTTTAAATCTGCTGTGCTCCAAGTGGGTCTGTGTGATCACACTACTGCATACACATATACAGTGCTACTGTGTCACCCCTTAGTGCTTATCCACCTCTGACACACTATTGCGCTCACCTTCAGGTTTGACCGGTATTCTCAGGTCAAACTACGTCTTTCCATATAACCTGGGTGTATTGGTACATAAATCTCACCACTGTCAGCACTTAAAATCTCCAAAACACTATACCATATATTATTGGAAGGTGAATTCCATCATCCTTTTTGTCATTTATAATCTGTTACACAGAAAGTTACAAGATGTATTTGAGCTTGACTGTCAAATGCTCCTGATCCAGGGGGTTCAAATCTTTTAAAATCAGAGCGGTTTATACTAAAGACTAATTTTTCATTAATCGTAATCCAGGAGATTTTGTGTATAACTAACGCAATGTTGACCACAGGTGATGTCCACGCTCGAGCCACAGTGATCTTGGCCGCTTCCTTCAGTTGAATTTGGTAGGGACTTTACGGCTTCTATTATGGATGTCACTTCATTCTCGGCATCTGTTCCATCACAATGTGCTAAACAAGTGGCCCCAATCCCTGTATGCCTGAGCACTATAATGTGACATGTAATGGCATCTTCTGACCCAACAACAGATATTGAGCTGTCACTTGGAGTAGTAGCAGCCAGTTCCCTTTGATGAATGTACAAACAACCGTTAGGTCCAAATATCTGTAATGGTTGACTGGTTAACAATTAATCTGCCCATGCATCTGTATAATCCGGGAAATAGGCTTGCTGACATCGAGCCTCTGACTCCCAATTAAAACCGGTTGCCGGTTTTGTATTTATAGTACTGCGCTGCATTTTTTAGATTTATAGTTTACATGTGGGAACACAGTACATGAATGCTAGCTGCAATACTTGTTTCATAGGAGGTCCTTTGTGCTGAGGGTCTTTCATATACATTTTGGCACTTACCTATTAGTTCTTTATTTCTAACGTCTAAGGCCATGTTCCGTAAAGCAGTAGCAACAGCACACACCACTCTGTCATTGTCTATTCGAAGGAGCTCCACCAAAATTGGCAGTCCTTTTTCTTTCCGGACAGCAGCACGAATATATATAGACCACTGAAAAAGGCAATTTAAAAGGTAACTGGTTCATGTATATGATAATTATTATCTTTATACACATAACGTCAAAATAATTTGCAGCCAAGTAAAGAATTTATTTGAACAGTACAGTACAGTTACCCAGTAAAGTTATGTTAATAATCTTGCTTTGACAGATAAAGTGTAATTGAAAGTTTGAAATGTGTAACTTTCCTAAAAACAATCTACTTCAAACTCCCTTAAATGTTAATCATATGAAAAGGAGTTGGCTTTTAGTTACATAATCTCTACTAAAGGGAGGATGGTAATAATCTCTTTCAACATGGATCACATGACCAAATAATCATTTTACACTTTTCTCTTCTCTTTATGTATCCATCAGCAAGGTTTTGGTTAATATCTAAGTACAGGTCTACTTCAAGTAAAAGTATAAATCAGGTTACTGTATTTTTTTTCTTACAGCGGACATTTACCTATAACAGCTTGATAAAAAAAACAATGTTCTTTAGCAAGGAACATACATTCCACATTAATAATGATGCTATCAAAATTAGTGTGTGCTGTACATTGCCTTGACAATTGCTCCTACTTTTCTTGCTTGAGGCTGCCATTTTGCTGAAGACCAAAGCCCCTGAGCAGCAGTAAATCTTTAGGCTGTCAACAGATCAGTCTTTAGTGGCTCTGATTTCGGCACAATGCCAACAAATAGAGAGAAACTGAGCTTGTGCAGAGCAGGGTGAGACAGTGTGTTACTGGATTACAAACAGCATGGACACTTATTTTTAATGTTTTACATAGCTATACAGCTATACTTGCAAAAGGTGCCAGCCCAAAGTGATTTGGTAGGATTTATTTTCTGAATAAAGTTGCACTTTCAGTAAGTATAATGTGTTATGAAAAACAAGTATGACAGTAGGAAAATGTTGGCATTAAGCTGGTCAAAGATCCAAAACAAAATATTACACTTAAGCAGTGATCTTCATTTTACTGGAAAAACACAGTTGGGGACTTAATCAAACCACACAATTCATCTAAATCCAAAAACATTTTTGCATATACCTCAATACATAGTGGTTTGTTTGATACTGCCAACGAAGAAGGTCTCAGTGTTGGAATGTGAACCCTCACAAGCTCTAATCACTTTCCTCATCTAATTTATCAAGCTGCTGCTACTAATAATGCTAACAAACGCTCCTGTGGGAGGGTGGATGAAAGGTGTGATGTTCCTGTTTATTTTTCTAGCTACTGTATGAATGAAGGTCACAAGATTTTGTACTTTTTATTTATAGACAAAACATTTAAACTGGTTGTCATGCCCAGGAAAATATCAGAGCTGCAAGAGAGAAAAATGACTGATGTTTTATCAGACACAGTAGTCAGGAAAAGAGGAAGCAATGTCATCAATGCTACTTTTATCTTTAGGCATGATAGGAGAGGAAAGCTGTAAGGAAGATTTTAAAGTTAACTAGCAACTTCTGTAAAACTTATGAACAATTAGTCAGTATGCATGACTGATCAGTGAAATATTGTGTCCATACAGAGTGTCTGGAAACTAAAGCTGGCCATGTACTGTTAGATGTATTTCATTAAGCCTAGGGGCTAAACAACAGACATCTTACAGATTCCTCCATCCGCACTATACAGTGTAAATAGAGGAATCCCCCTGCTGGGCTTTTGTATTCTGACATTGGCAGTTGCCAGAATACCAGAACAGTAGCTGCATCTGATTAAATGTAGCTGCAGTTTAGCTAAAAATCTTCCAGCAGGCACCCTCAACAAAAGGTGATTGAATGATCAAGGCTAGCAGGACCACCCACTAAGAAGATTTCATCAGGAACTGGACAAAATTCACTCAGTGTAAGGCCAGGTTTCACAGGGGGAAAAATATTCCTAATGTGTAAGAAAGAGGAACAAAAACTGTGAAAACAAAGTTAAAGCAGCTGGTCTGAATTGGACAATCCCAGACTGAGCAGGGAGCACATGATTCAACATATCCTGTACCCAGGAAATAGACAGAACCCTTGGCAGCAGCAATTTTGACTACTGAGCTCTTTGTATGATAAATCAGACCTGAACTAGGAAAAGAGGCAGAATACTCAGGGTTTGCTTCAGTGATAGACACAAATCATAGAAATCATGGCTGGTGGCAAAACTCAGAAATGGCAGCTCCAGATGTCACTGCTACACCTAACATCCAGTAGAGCAGCTCATCTAGCAAGGGTGGTGAGGAAAATGCAGGAAGGTCCAGACAGTTGGTGGTAATTGGGAATTCTATATTCAGGAGAATCGATTGGATAATTAGTTGCCTCAACCAAATTATTTGCCGTCTCCCTGGTGCCAGGCTTTGGCACGTGGTGGTTGGGGTAAACAAAATACTGAGAGAGGCAGGGTATGATCAGCTCTCTTAGTTTATGTTGGGACCAATCACAGAATAAGAGGATGAAGGATCCTTATATATTAATTTAACAAACTAGTTGCAAGCTAATGGGAAGGACCCCAATGTTACATTCTCTGGAATTTTGGTGGAGATATTCACAACACAGGAAAAGCAGCGGGAGCTTAGAGAACTGAATTCATGGTTATCTATAGCACTGGGCTGATTTTTCATTGGTGTACAATCTATGTGCTAAAGATAGTTTGCACTTAAATAGAAGGGAGTCTATTGTGCTAGGGGAAAGATATATAAGAAGGCTGGGAGAGTACGTAAACTAGGATTCAGAAGGATAAAAATATTAGAATATCCTTTTCATATTACTTTCTTGTGTTCCCAAAATCTCACTTCTTTACCCCTCTGCTCCACCCCAAAAACTTGTACATCTCACCCTCACTGCTACCATCTCCCCACTACTGCTCTCATTACCTCCTGCTGATACTTCATTCTCCTGCTGACCCAAACACCAGGCCTGGAAGGCATGTGAGCTTGTGTACATCCCGCTCCCATGTTACTTTCCTCACACTTCTTCTTCTCCTAACTTCTGGGGATATTTCCCCAAACCCTGGTCCTTCACCACCTCACTCACCCACTGGGAACCCTCCTACCCCCCACGAACCGCCACAACCCCCTCAACCTTATACCTGTCCCCCTCCTCCCCGCATCCATCCCTCCACTCTCAGTTGCACTCCTGAATGCCCGATCGGTTTGCAACAAGCTCACCGCCATCCATGACCTCATTATCTCCCACTCCCTCAACCTCCTAGCGGTCACCGAAACCTGGATCCAAGCCACTGACTCCGCCTCCCCTGCGGCACTCTCCTATGGAGGTCTCGTCTGGTCCCATTCACCCAGACCGAACGGCTGTAGAGGTGGTGGGGTCGGTGTGCTCTTGTCACCGCTGACCACCTTCCAGGTCCTCCCAAACCCCCCTCTCTCTATCCTTCTCCTCCTTCGAGGCCCACTGCATCTGACTCTTCTCTCCCACCCCTCTGAGGATTGCAGTAATCTATCGGCCTCCTGGATCCGTATCCCGCTTCCTTGACGACTTTTCCGCCTGGCTGCCCTTCTTCCTCTCCTCTGAGCTATCCACCATCATACTTGGAGACTTTAATATCCCTATCAATGTCAACAATCCGGCTACATCCCAACTCCTCCACTTAACCTCTTCTTTTGCACTCACACAGTGCACACAGTCCTCCACCCACACCAATGGGAACACCCTGGACCTCGTTTTCTCCCATCTCTGCACCCTCCCCAACCTCACAAACACCCCTTTCCCTCTCTCTGACCACAACCTCATTACGTTCTCCATGTCCCCGTCCTATAGCGCCTCCTCCCCCAAACGTCAAACCATCACCAGCCGTAACCTCCGCAACCTGAACCCAGCCCCTCTCCATTCTGCAGCTGACCATCTGTACGACAGTATCCTTCCACTGTCATGCCCTGACCTGGCCATTACTGCGTACAACGACTCACTGTCAGCTGCCTTAGACTCCTTAGCACCCCTAACCACACGTAGCATTAGATCCCGACCACTTCAACCCTGGCAGAACGACCACACTAAAAATCTTAAATGACGCAGTCGAGCGCTGGAGCGATTATGGAGCAAAACCAGATCGCCTCGAGCATTCTCCCTCTACAAATCTTCCTTACACCTACACCTCCTCCCTCCATGCCGCCAAACAAGCCTACTTCGTAACCCTTACCAAACCCTCTCCACCTGTCCTCACTGGCTCTTCTCCACTTTCAACTCCCTACTCTCTCCCCCCCTTCCCCTCCCAGTACCTCACTCACCACCCACGAGATTGCCAATCACTTCCAAATAAGATCGATGCAATCCGTAAGGACATCGCCAATGCTCAACCTACCTCCCCACCTAGCCTCCCTCCCACCATAACCCCACCAACTCTCCCCTCCTCTGACCTCGCAACCGCCCTACCCCCCACCACACCTAACGTCCCGCACACTATAACCTCCCCAACATTCCACTCCTTCAGTCTTGCTACCACTGAGGAGTTCACTAAGGTCTTCTCAGAAGCCCGCCTCACCACTTAGCTAAGTAGCTAATGGCCACTATTCAGTCCTCTTACTCCTCGACCTTTCCGCGGCCTTCGACACAGTCGACCACCCCCTCCTCCTTAACAAACTACACTCCCTCGGCATCAGAGACTCCGCTCTCTCCTGGCTCTCCTCCTATCTATCTCAACGCTCCTTCAGCGTTACCTATAACGCTACCACCTCCCCGTCTCTCCCCCTCTCTGTTGGGGTCCCCCAAGGCTCTGTCCTCGGGCCCCTTCTCTTTTCCATCTACACCTCCTCCCTCGGCAAACTGATACACTCCCATGGCTTCAACTATCACCTCTACGCCGATGACATGCAAATTTACCCCTCCACCCCTCGCCTTACCCCTTCAGTCTCCGCCCGTATCACCAGCCTACTGAACGACATATCCGACTGGATGTCGCTCCATTTCCTCAAATTGAACCTTTCCAAAACCGAGCTCCTGATTTTCCCCCCAGCCCGTGCCCGCCCCCCCACCCTCTCCATCCCGACCAACAACGCCACCATCAGTCCCACCCCACAAGCCAAAGTCCTAGGTGTCACTCTAGACTCAAACCTGTCCTTCCAACCCCATGTCCAATTGTTGGCAAACTCATGCAGGCTCCACCTCCGCAACATCTCCAAAATACGTTCGTTCCTAACCCCTCATTCACTCCCTTATTATCTCACGTCTGGACTACTGCAACTCCCTTCTCCTACCTCATCGCAGACTATCCCCGCTTCAGTCTATCCTGAACTCAGCGGCCAGACTCATCCACCTTACCAACCGCTCCGCTTCTGCCACCCCCCTCTGTCATTCCCTCCACTGGCTCCCGATTGCCCAACGCATTAAATTCAAACTACTAACACAGACATACAAAGCCATTCATAACGCTGCCCCAAACGACCTGATACCCAAATACCACCCAACCCGTAATCTTCGCTCCTCACAAGACCTCCTACTTTCTAGCTCCCTGGTCTCCTCCTCCCACGCCCGACTGCAGGACTTCTCCAGGACTTCCCCCATCCTCTGGAACTCACTACCCCAATCCATCAGACTGTCACCTACCCTCCTCACCTTTAGGCGCACCCTGAAAACCCATCTCTTCAGGGAAGCCTACCCTGCCCTCACCTAACAGCCGATCTCCTCCACTCCTCCTACCACTCCATCCCCCACAGCCACTTCCTCCTGTGCCACTATCCCCTCCCTCTTAGATTGTAAGCTCGAAAGAGCAGGGCCCTTGAACCCCTCGTGTTTTGTTTTGTTACTGTATTGTCTCATGTTCTGTCCCCCACTAAAATGTACAGCGCTGAGCAAACCTTTTAACGCTATATAAATACAGTATAATAATAATAATAATAATAATAATGGAGCAGACACTAATGCAGGATGGAATTGGAAAAGATGGGGGAGGACTATGGTAGGTTATAAGGAGATTCCCAAATTGCAAACAAATATTGGCAAGCGAAGTACTATTGGTGCTTCAAAAAAAGATGGAAAACACAACTCCAAACTGCAACAGTTTACTAAAATGATTGCTCACTAATGCCAGAAGTCTGCCAAGCAAAAAAAGGGGAGTTGGAAGCTTTGGTGAATTAAGAGAACTATGATTTATTTGGCAGTGCTGAATCTTGGCTTCATACTTTACATGATTGGGCTATTATTATTCTTGTCCAAAGATGGAGAGGCAGGTGGTGAAACAAAAGGTGGTGATGTAAGAAGGGATCTCAAAGTGAGTGTGAAAGAGGACCTAGCTGATGGACAGAGTAACGGTGCTGAGGCAGTGGAGTTGTGTATGGATGTGTGCACTGCAAACCCATACAGTAGATTTGAAAAGGTATTTTTAAAAATATTTTTCATATATTTTGTAATATATAAAAAACACATTTAAGCATACAGTATATATATAAATATATATATATATATATATATATATATATAATTTATTTATTTTTTTTAAACATATTGTAGCCAAAATTGTAGTATTTCAAATATATGTCAATATATTTGGGAAGAATATTTTTTAAATATATTTAAAATATATTTTTCTTCCATGTGGGAAGGTACTTATCGACTTATCGATGTTTGTTACAGACTCCCAGTATTCATGAGGAGGTACAGATCGGTCAGTTTAATGTCTATAGTTGGGAAGATATTTGAGAGTGTCATAAAAGACCACAAAGAAGAGCTTTTGCTAGTAAACAATATTATACACAATAGTCAGCATGGATTCACGAAAGACTTAAGTTGTAAAACAAATCTGCTTTCTTCTTTCTTGCTGATCCAGGGAATACTGATTGCCTTGAGGGATCATGAAGGATTTTTTTCCCCACTGGAAAGAATTGGACATGCTTTATATATTTTTGGCTTTCCTCTGGATCAACTGTGGGTATAGTTTTTTTTCTTGGTTGAAATAGATGAACTTGTGTCTTTTTTCAACTATTTTGCTACAATATGTAACTAAAACTCTTACCTTCCAGCTTCCTGCAGCTAAGTTCTGTAATGCTCCAGCTGCACCTTCCAGAGTGTCTGGATTTGAGCATTCAGAAAGAAGTGTGAGGTAGGGTTTAACTATTGATGGATGCCATAGCATCTGGATTCCTTTTGGCGGGTCTACACAATCAGGAAAAGGTCCAACCCCATCCCACTGTAAAAGAAGAACATAAATATGTCTATTATTTCATAAGAGTAAGTGAATGTTAACAATCAATATAGTTAGAGAAAATAAAAAATGTAGAATTCTTAAATTTTTAATTATGCTATATATAGTGGATAGCCTTTTACTTAGTGTCATTAAACCCAAAACAATTTTTAGTCTCCAGTATATCATATATCTCTTTAAAATTGTGCACTATACATGTATGCGGAAGCTTGTCATCAGCAACCTGTTACAGTCTTGTAAATATCTGGTTGATGCTGCCATTATCATGCATGTCCCCATTGTGTGTGGCAATCCTAGGCCAGCCGGTTTTCCAACTCCTCCGTTGCCACACTGCTCCATCTACACCTCATTTCTTCTATTGAAGCTGCCCCATGTGACTCTTTTTGTCACTTGTGGGGCAGCTTAAAGTGTCTGTGCAACGTCAGCTTTCACCCTCCCCTCTCCCATCTCTCAGCTGCTACGCAACATACTTTGTGATTTGCCTCACAAGCTTCCAGAATAGAATGGAATGTAATGGGGGTTGACCAGCAGACAAGAGTAATCCTCCATGGATCCACCGCACAATTGACATGGACTGTTTTTTTAATCATTAAGACTAGAACATTCAAAAGCAGTCTAATTGAGGGGTGGGCAACACAACAAACAATGCAAACAGCCTCAGAGAAACAAATGGGTCAAAATAGCTTGACACTGCCATCAAAGGAGGCCTCAGCATTCACCTGGTAAAACATAAACATGGGAACAGAAGCTCAGGTGGAAGCCTTGCTAACCTGAGAAATAAATGCTTGATTCTGAAAAGTCCAAGAAGCACTAACAGAAATGGTAGAGTGTGTGTTTACAGGAAATGGAGGAACGAAAAGTCTTATGTTAACTTGTCTGATCCACCTAGCAATTGTGGAGCAATAAGGAAGTGACCCTTGTGGGGTTCTCAGGAAGCACAAAGAAGGAATCCAGTTGCCTTAAGAGACAGTGCCAGAGAGGTAAACTCTCACAACATACACCATGCCCAGACAGTGGATAGAATTTTTTAGGATGTTTCAGAGCAGGACATAAAGAAGGGAGGACAATATCCTGATTAAGGTGGAGACCACCTTTGGGAGGAAAGAGGCCTCGGGCCTCATGACAACTGTATCCTTTTGCAACAATAATCAAGGCTTCTTACAGAATAAAGGCCTCTAATTCAGACACTCTTACAAGTAATGTCATACAAGGCAATATTCCTAATATGTTCAAAGTAAGGCTTCTACAGAGCTGAGGGATCCAGACTGAGGTCCCAAAGAGACACAAAAGATTGCACAGGGAAGGGGGGGGGGGGGGGGGGGGCTCTTACATAAAGGCCTTAGTTAGTGAGAGGCACCTACAAACTACTTTCTAAGATGAATGTTCCTCAACATGCACCAATCAAACTCGGCCTCCCAAATGCAATAATAGACTTTACAGGTTAACTTCCTATACTTTATAAGGGTGTGGATAACTACATCTGAAAGGCCTCTGTTCCTCAGGACTGTGGCTTCAACAGCTATGCCATTAAAACCAGAGACCAAGAAGCAGGATGGAACACTGGCCCTTGGAACAGGAGGCCCAGAACAGGAGGCCCAGCCTGACAGTCAGACATACCAGATCATGGGATTCTTCTATAACTCAGAAAGAAATTTCTGAAGAAAATAGTTTTCTTGGACCAGGTTAAAGGGTAGGCTTTAAAAAAAAGGTTGTTTTTAATACTGTGGGCCAATTTTCCTTTGATAATGAAAATTAATCGAAGAATATCCATTAACATTTACCACCAGGTAAAGGCCCAATTGGTCCTAAAAAATAGGTATAATTCACTTTGATAAATTAAGACAATGGAAAGATATGTACAGATTTACTTAAACATGCCAACGTTACAAAACTGGGTTCAGGTGCTAAGGTTTGTTTTTCCTTTGTCATTAAGGAGTTAAATTAAGTGGCTTCGGAGTATAAACCTTCAGAAAACATTTTGGCAGCTTTTAAGTTTTATATATAAACCTTTTTGTGATATATTACAATAAAAATAAACTAAATTAAAACATAAAGTGTTCAAAAAATCACAGAAGTCCAAAAACCAAAAGTGTCCAAAAAGTGTCCCAAAAAAAATTAAATGTCCAAAAAAAAGTCCAAACAATGTCCAAAAATCCCAAATTTTCAAACTTTTTCATCAAATAAAAGGATTGACTCCTGTTCCATCCAGTAAGAACCTCAAAATAAAAGATACAAAATCTAGTGCATTACCATAATAAAATAAAGTAATCACCCATTGCAACTCTCAATATCGTGCAAAAATTATATATATATTTATATAATAAATTAATATTTTTGCACGATATTGAGAGTTGCACTGGGTGATTACTTTATTTTATTTATTAAGTTTGAAAATTTGGGATTTTTGAACATTGTTTGGACATTTAATTTTTTTTGGGACACTTTTTGGACACTTTTGGTTTTTGGACTTTTGTGATTTTTTGAACACTGTATGTTTTAATTTAGTTTATTTTTATTGTAATATATCACAAAAAGGTTTATATATAAATACTGCACTTTCTAGGGAGAAAGTATGACTTTTTGAGGGGTGTAAAGGAGAAGGGTATACATTTATTCAGCTTTTAAGTTTCATTAAATTGTTTTCAACATTTTTTAGAGCACATTGCTGTGCTTTTAAGAAGCCACTGCCACATTTTGTATGTCTGTATGTGGTTTCAATACCCAAATTACACACATTTTATGGTGTTACAGTGTGCATATACATTGTGCATAATATTGCCAGACAATTACTGCTACTATACATTTTTGTATTTTCAGAATTTCAGCTGACTTCATTATTGTGGGTCTGCCAGCAATTACAAAATCTTAAATATAGAAATTAGGGTGTCACAGTGTACAGTAGTGTAAGATTACCAGTAAATTGGTATCCATTACTGAATCAGGAGAATCACTGTCTCACTTTTTAATTTTTATATCTGTATAAATATCTGATCTGGGGTGAATCGTATATTCATGAGCTGACAATTTTTAGTCTATGCTGTTTTACAGTGGTAGCAGCAACCTCAATAAATTTGTATGTATGTGTCAGTACAAAATAAAAAAAAAAAAAACCTACAGTTTAATAACTACAGTTTAAGTATCAATATATAGCTTAAGAGCTGTATATTCACTATTTTACTACTTGTTTGCAAAAAGAGGCAATGAATATGCACCCAAGGGGGAAAGATGACAAAACTGGTAGAATCACAACAAATAGGTATGTTGAGCTCCAGCAGTAGATTTTTTTCAACTCTTTAATGTCTAATTTAGAGACCTAGCCTTTATTCTTAAAGCAACAATACTAAGTGCTGACTATCCTGTACCATACAGCATGGTTCCCCACCTTTCCTGCGGGGTGCCCATCAGGGCCATCTTTAATATTTATTGGACCCTGGGCAAATATTTTCTTAACCCCTCTCCTCCCACTCACTTTGAGACATACAACAAATAGCAGGTAGACTTAAAATCAGTTTACTACAGCAGATCACGTAGAGATTGCAATTGGTTGCAAGAGGTTATAGTAAATCATTACCACTCATTGATGTTGCTAGAGGTTGCAGCACACATGACGGCTCACTGATTAGTTGGTAGAGGTTACTGTATATCATTACAGCCCATTGATTGGTTGTTATGAATTACTGGTTATCATTACTGCTCACTGATTAGTTACTAGAGGTTACGATACATCACTACTGCTAACTGATTGGTTGCTATAGGTTACTGCACATCATTACCGCTCACTGATTGGTTCCTAGAGGTTGCTGTACATAATTACCACTCACTGATTGGTTGTTAAAGATTACTGCTTATTGTTACCACTCACTTACTGGTTGATAGAGGTTACAGCTCACATTTTGGCTAATTAGTTGCTAGAGGTTACAGCAGATCACCACTCTTCACTGATTGGTTGCTAGTGGTTATTGTACATCATTACTAGGCAGTGGAGCAATCCCAAATAATTAAGCAACTAAAGCGACACATTAAGGCTCAGCTTACACTGCTGCGACTTCCTGTGACTTCCTTCTCACTTTGATCCGACTTTGTTGCAACTTTAGACATTAAAGATCCTATGTAAAGCAGTGTGAACTGAGTCTAATACACATACTACAGGAGATAATCAGAGACTGCGGATGTACTACAGGAGACGTCCAGAGACTTCAGATGCACTACAGGAGATAACTAGAGACTGCGGATGTACTACAGGAGGTATAAGAGACTGCGGATGTACTACAGGAGATGATCAGAGACTGCGGATGTACTACAGGAGATGGCCAGAAAGTGTCGATATACTACAGGAGATATAATCAGAGACTATGGATGTACTACAGGAGATAAACAGAGATTGCAGATGTACTACAGGAGATGACCAGAGAGTGCAGATATACTACAGGAGATAATCAGAGACTGTGGATGTACTACAGGAGATGGTCAGAAACAGTGGATGTAACTACAGGAGATAACCAGAGACTGCGGATGTACTATAGGAGATGGTCAGAGAGTGCGGATGTACTACAGGAGATGACCAGAGAGTGCGAATGTACTACAGGAGATAATCAGAGACTGTAGATATAGTACAGGAGATGACAGAGACTGCGGATGTACTACAGGAGATATTCAGAGACTGGGGAAATACTACAGGAGATGGTCAGAGAGTGTGGATGTATTACAGGAGATAATCAGAAACTGCGGATATACTACAGCAGATGACCAGAGACTGCACATGTACTACAGGAGATAGTCAGAGAGTGCGGATGTACTACAGAAGATGACCTGAGAGTGCAGATGTACTACAGGAGATAATCAGAGACTGCGGATGTAGTACAGGAGATGACAGAGACTGCGGATGTACTACAGGAGATATTCAGAGACTGGGGAAATACTACAGGAGATGGTCAGAGAGTGTGGATGTATTACAGGAGATAATCAGAAACTGCGGATATACTACA